TCAATGATGAACGCCGTGGAGAGAAAGGCTAGGCGTTTTTTTTTTTTTGGTTAGCTCAACAGGAATCGAGAGGGAGAATAAAATATACTCACCATTCGGTGTCCTATTAATTGGCCTTTGTGAGGATGAGTGGCCGGGATGCTGTCCAGAAGACGATGGTAAAAGGATTGTTTCTAAAAAGGAGGGTGCCAAGCGGCGGGAGGCAGTGGCGGCCGAAGAATGGGCTTCGGCAGAGTTGGAAGGATGGGAGGGGGTCGTGCTGGTCTCTCGGTCGAATATCCTATATCGCTGGGCCTCTTTTTCAACCCACTCTTTGAAGTGGGTAAACTCAGGCTTACCTACCAGAGGTGAGCCCAGAGATTGGAGCTTGGCCAATAACGCTTCGACTTATTAGTGCGCCAGGGGTACTTGGGGGGGACAATTGACTTGCCGAGAATTTCTCTGGCATCTGAGAGCGCAGAACTGCCAGACCAGACTTGTGCCGACTCAGCGCTAAGAGTTGGCGATGGTGGGAGAGCACCACCGGGCCAAGGCAGATCAGGATGAGTCCTCCGCCTCTTCGTTGCTTGATCCGAATAAGCTAAGCTTGCTCTTGTGCAGTAGATGCCGTTCGAAGGCGGCGAAAATGGGGATGACTGAGGCGATAGTGGTAGCGGCAAAGCCTCTTCGCCAGCTGCTGTGATGTTGGCAGGTAACTGGTCTGGTAATGAACGCCGAGTTGCTTCGGCGAGGAATGGTCCAGTACAACCGGCGGCAGAACGATCGGAGGCAAAGCTGGCCACTTCCGGTAGTGCGAGCATTCCCCGACTCTGCCTCTGCACGGAACACAGCACGGCGTTGTCAGTCTCGAGACTCTCTGGTCGCTCGGCAAATTTTTCCATCACCAAGACGCCAAAACGGTCCAACCCCAGGCCGGCAGGTAATCTGTTCGCTACCAGGTGCCAATATTCGGACCCAACCTTTGCTACCTTGTGACCGGCGTCATGCTCCTTGTTAGCGGCCCGGACCTTGACGCGCTGGAGCTGGCTTGTCACTTTCTCAATGTCGGTCCTCGCAATTGGGTTCACGAAGGTTGGAATGGGGGCCAGCCTAAGAGACCTGGAATTGTATCGGTCCAATAGCACCGGATTCAGCATCTTCACGAACCTTGGCCAGTTTACCTTCCTCGCTGCAGCACGTAGCTGCTGACAGTATCCTAGGCCCATTGTTCCCCAGCCATAGTGGTGTATTACCTCGGAGCCCCAACGATCCGCCACGTCCCGCAGCGCCCTGATACAGGTTGCGCGCGTTCTCGCCCCCTTGTCAGCCAGGTGTGAAAATTGTCGCCAGGATCCATCCGGCGCGGCGACGAGATATGATTGTTCAGAATCTTCCATGACATCTCGGCAGACGGCGAACAGGATCTCCAAGCTTTGGTGCTTGTCCAGAAGGTGGTCCCGTGTTCGCTGGCATATAATGGTCTTCTCGGTAACAGACTCGCAGGCAGCGAGGTCGCGACGGAGTTTGTCGACCTGCTTGAGTTGATCGCCTACCAGCACCACAGCCGGATCGCCCCAGGGCGAATCTGGGGGTAGTACACGCATGGATCTCGCCATGCCGTATGAGAGTGCAATAAAGCAGAAGTAGTGAGAGAGGCCGGAGCGGAGGTCGACAGCCTGGTATGGCATCCGCCGTTGTCGTCGTGGGACTGGGGCATTTAAACCTGGCAGGGTTAAATGTCTCCACTCTGTCTGTTGAGAGCGGGCTAGATGGGGCGGGGTGACCTGCAATGTCATCAGGGAACCCTGTCAATGGGGCCTCAGACTAGTGGATGCCTCGTCACAATCTCATGTGGGTGACGAGAAGTATGTGGTGGGGCCTTTGCGTACAGGGTGTCCCCGCTTGTGTTTGGCAAGGATCGTACCTCAGCTACGCGGAACTCGTTACGGCGTATATGGTAAATCGCCTCCCTTCAGCCTGCGAGTGTACTGGGTGCGACCTGCAGTACCATGCAGGTGATCCCTCAACGCATGCGGGCGTTTGCGCGCTCGTTGTCCGCGCGCGGCCTGCGGGCTTGGCCGGGCCTGGTTAGCTACGTCCGCCCAACACCGTCTCTGCGCAAATGTCAAGTTACGCAAACTATTGAGGGCTGATCTCCCGCGCGACTTGCCGTAAAGAGGATCCGGTGTAAATCTCATCGTTTCACGGGAGTTTGTGCCTGCGTTGACACACTGCCATCTGAGGTGCTACCTAAGTGCTCGAGGCGGCACCGCCGATCGCCAGAGAGGACGTAAGGATCGGCCGAGCGCCCTTCGCGCCCCTCACTCGTCGATGTCGGGAGTCATATCCAGTACGGAGACGTTAGACTGTTGGCCACATATAAATACCCTGCTCGCTCTGCCAGTATATGAATGGACTGGCTTATCATTAATGCTCTCTTAAACGGCCTCTTCTCTGACTATTCTTCCAGTCTTCTGACATCTCAGAATTCGCTCACTGTGCGCTAATATGTACAACAACAAGACTACACGAAGTCTCGGCAAGAACAGCGGCCGCGTCCATAGCATAGACATGCCAGAGTGTCCTCAAGCGTGAGCTGGCATGTAATCCCCATTTGAGCGGTTTAATAATGACAGCCGCAGCGAATCCTGCACAGGAACGCCAGCGCCTTCTCCCACCGCAGAAACATTCCAATACGGCACCAATCGGCTTTCGAATACGAAATGTGGCGAAAGTCATGCCAGCAATGGCGAGAATATCGTGGCCAACGGGTCTCTCGGACCAGACCAGACTCAGCCCCAGCGGTGAGCTGCCCCGTACCGACGCCGATGGTGCATCCATAAACTAAAGCATGGCACAGCCCAGCGGGCACATTGAGCCATTTCACACGTTTAACTGATGAGGGGGCATGCTCCCCTGTCATTCACCCCCATCCTCTTCCTGCACGAACAGGTCCAACGGATGCAGGCGTAGCACAGCAGCAGGGATCGACAGCGTCTGTCAAGACGAGTTTTGCAAGCACAAGACAATGCTCTACCTCCAGCTGTCGCCGGGGTATTGGAGAAGAGCAGGCGAAGTCTGCAGGGACCACGGTCCAGGTCACATCCCTTGGCGACGTCCCAGCCTCCGGTCGATCTTGGGATAATTTCCTGACCGACAATTGAGCGAAGTGGCAAGATTCGAACATACAGCGGCCTCTGAAGAATGGGAATACCACTGCAGCCGCGCCCAGTTGTTAGATAATACAGCACAGCTGTTGCCCATTCCTAGTTGCCCGAGTTTTGATGCGCTGTGAAGGCCGCTATTTTGTTATGCGTATGCCGCGCATCGAACCCAGGTCAGTAGCAAAGTGGTACAAAATCGACTTCGAATGCAGCGTTGGCAAATAAGACGACCTACTATGTGGTAACCTGCCGAACAATGTTGAAGCATTGATGATGGGCGTCTCACGCATAGGAGACGACGAGCAGCGTGTGGAAATATACCACTTCCGCCCCGCAAAAGCGTCAGGCTGAGCTGACCTGTAGTGACTGAGCCTTTGGACGGCCATGGTCAGGCGAGCGGGGCGGGCAACACCCCGTCGCGACCATTTCTACCGGGAAAAGTGGAGTCGGGCGGATTAAGGTAGCAGCGCGTTGTGGGGAGGCCGATAACCCCGCACGGCAGAGACAGGCGCGCATATATAGCAGCTACACCCCCGCGGATTGCTCAACAATATACCAATGATCGACGCCTTTTATGATGGATGTTCGAATCAACAATGACGTGAGCACGAAGTCGCGGGAAAATCGCGTTATCAAACGGAGGCCAGCCAGTCTCGCCAGTAGATGGAACATCAAACTTCTACGCGGTCTCCAAAGGAAGTTGGAAGAAGACCCTGAAGCAGACATTACGGCACTACTACCGAATACCTATGCTGAAACGTTGCTGTCGTACAAGAAAGGTAGCTGCTACCCCGTCTTCTCTGAGTTCAAATTTGACACCCTTGTAGCAGCGGCTCAGAAGCCACAGCCGGCGGGCCCACAGGAAGACATTCGGTCGAAGATCTCTCCAGAGCCATTCGCTATTATATCCGAACTATCATCTGATCTCAAGGACCTATTGGAAGGATCCCAATCACCCAGCGCAGTTATAGAACTTCTTCAGGAATCCGAGCGCCTTTATGAGGGCGCAGGAGCGTCGTCCGGGGTTTTTCGGGTCAGCAAGAATATCATTGTCAAGATCACCAACAAAGCATCGGCATTCACGGAGATCGGCTCCTTGAAATACATTCAAACACACCTCCCCACCTTTCCGGCTCCACGGGCACATGGGTTGATTCAGCTCGGGCTGTTCTGGCTCCTTTTCACCTCATTCGTGCCTGGAATTGACCTGGAGAAGGCTTGGCCACGACTAGATGAGGCAGAGAAGAAGCATGTCAGTGCGCAGCTTGACAGCTTCCTGAATGAACTGAGATCTCTGCCAAAGCCGAGCGATCAGCCCCTAGGTGGCGTCCAAATGGAAGGGTGCAAGGACGCAAGGCGCGGGGTGCGCGTCAGCAAGTCCCCCATCACGAATTCATTGGAATTCCAGGATTTTATTTTCAGTGGGTCAAGGTCTGCGTCCTCAGTGTATAGGCACTTGCTCCGAGATCTAGCTCCGGCTTCGTCTAGATGCGTTTTCACTCACGGAGACATCCGCCCAGCCAATATAATGGTAGGGAAAGAAAATGACGGAACCTGGACAGTGTCTGGCATCATTGACTGGGAGGCCAGCGGCTTTTACCCGGAATATTGGGAGTCTGTGAAAATGACCAACAATCTTACCCCCAGGGATAATGACGATTGGTACTGGTATTTGCCGAAGAGTTGTTCACCTCGGCGATATGCAACCCAATGGTTAGTGGATAGGTTGTGGGACCAGAGCATGGATAACAGTTGACGAGTCCTTAATATATCACTCGTCACCGAAGCTCGCAAAAGATGTGTGTAATTGACCTTGAGTAGAACAGAACTTGCTTTAGGCTGAAGGAGCAGCCCGCTTCACTCGTCGGAGTCGTAAACGAATTCCTCCGACACAATCCTTTGATTGCCATCCTGGTCATCGTCTTCGTAACCTTCATAGCCTCCGTACCCATAACTCACCCCAGACTCGTCGCCACCACTGCCGCCGAAGTCCTGACCATAGTATTGCAGCATCTGGGCCCTCCCAGACTGCCAAGTCTCTGGACTTACAATACCAGCACCAAGTAGGGCGTCCCAGATTTCAATTACATAATCCTGACAATTCCAAGACAAAGCCTCGCCCGGGACAGTGATTTGTCGTATCTGATCTATCATGGGAGACAGGTTGCCCTCATGCATCTGCCCCAGATAAGTGAGAGGCTGCACGCAGCGCTGTGAACGGGTAGGGTTCGTTCGCCGATGGACAGCTGTAAACGGTCCGTCTTGAACTTCTTGGGTAACCTCGAATATGTGCCAGGCACTGTCCGCAGTGTCCGAGACAGCAAATGCCCAGTGATAGTAGTTTCCGAACTGAGGATAATAAATGGCACACCACAGCTTGAGAAGTGAAGAAGATCCAGTACTGACTGCCGTCTGGCCGGACTTATCCTTGCCAGACTTCTGCTTGTGTGACTTGCCGGACTTGTCCTTGCTGGACTTGCCCTTGGAAGAGGCTTTGGATCGGTGAGAAGATCTCGTAAACATTTTGACAGAGACAACGCTGCAATAATGGTGGACGTGTGCAAAACTGGTGAAGTGGGAGATTCAGGATTGTTCAAATCAGCGACGCCCAGCTCCATTATATAGCTCTCGAAATCTGCATCGGGCGTGCTCTGTCCTACTGCATACCGCGATGCAGTTCCGTACCAATATGACACTACATTGAAGAAACGACTCAAATGGTTTGGCCGGGCTCGTCTCGCACTTGGAGGAGTAGCGTCCAAGTACAGTGCCACCGAGCTGTAGTTCCATGCAGACAATGCGCATTTTCGTGACGAATCCACGCTTGGGTGTCGTGCATGGCCCCGTTCGCGCGCAACTAGGATGCATGAAGTTCGCTCCAGCTTGGTGACAGAACTGCTGGTCCTGCCGTATCACCATATTCACCAGGCAGTGCCGTGCATGAATACTAGCAGGGGGGATCGCAGGCATCGCCCAGAGGGTGCCCCTATGGACATTCGTGCATGTGTGTCCGCTGCCTTCGTCCTTCGACGGCCTACGAGGATGTACACAACGCGGAGCTCCCCGATAATGCTGAGTGCAAGTTCAGAGGCAACTCACAAGGAGACCTCAGACACGCCATCAAAGGATTTGACAAGGATTCAACGATCCATTACACAGAACGACAAGTCCACGATCGTATCTGTCGTTAGGCACATCCAACGTTGACCTGCGTGACCCATGATTTCGCGGTTGGTCGTTTACTTGCACTGTGCTGATGCGCGCGAAGCGCGCAAAGCTGTGGCGTCGCGCGCAAGCTTCGCGCGCAACATGCGCCAAGGCATGGTGGGCGCCTCGCGCGCGAGTGGGGTAGGTGGGCCACCTGGTCATTTTTCCATCCGGGCGACGTGGCACATTGGCCCACCTGCCTCGGGCTGACGTCGGGAGGCCCAACATCCCCCGCTTGGGCGTCAACAACGCTGTGCATCATCGCGTTTCGTACCGCATGTCGCCTTGATGTCGAAGGCATGCATTGTAAACATCGCCTGTCGGACAGCTGATCCCATGAACAAATTGTAACCCATCGACGAGCAATCCCAGATCGCCATTTTCCCCCATGCCTGACATTTCACCAAGCCCAGCTGATGGCAAGTTCACCGTCTCACGTCGATCCTGGGTAGTGCTAATCTTGGTGCAGGATCCGAGTCGAGATCGCGACCCGGCCACCTGGGACGGTGCGACGACAGTCGGCCCGGGTGTTTACAATAACAAGGAGACGATGCTATGGGAGAACAGTAGTGCCTATTTCAAGAAGCCAGGGGATACGGAATGGAAGCGGATGAAGACGACCGGGCAATGGACATTACCAGAACGCTGTTCAGTCTATCTCACTGGCGGGGAAATCAGAAAGGCCTGATCACGTCAGTGCCTCCTGCTAAGAGCTCCAGAGCTGCTGGTATACTAAACTCATGTTTTCAGCGTCCATGATGAAGGTCAGCCGGCCGGGGTGATCTGGCTTCTCCCAAACCTCCATAGAAAGGCAGTTGGACTTCAGCGCGCCCATCGCCAACTCCTCCAAGCGTTGCGGGTTTAGCCGGAATGCCGTACCCACCATTTGTCCGAACAATCTTTCCAGGGCAGCTGCGTCGGCGCCTTTGAATACGGCGCTCCCTTTTATGACCACTGTAGCACCATGCTCAAAGATGATGCATTTCCCTTCGCTCGATTCCCGAACATGGATGCCGAATAGCTCCCGAGCAATATGCTGTACCTCCGCCGGCATCAGATCAACAGTCATACAGCAGCCTGCCGGATCAGCTGGGAAAGACAGCAGGATAGCAGCTTCGCCGGAGTCCTTGACGATCGCAGAGCATGCGTACGGGGGGAAAACGAATGGGAGGTTTTTTGCCTTCGGTCTCGCATAGTGATACTGAGGATTGATGTCAAAGTCAATTGTTGCAGACGTTTCCATGTGGCTTGTGCTCGGGACTATACGATCGTCTCCCGAAACAAAACCTGGATGTTCCTCGACTTGTACGATCTCGGCTGCGTCGTTGATACACATATCCTGAGGTCCAGCGGAACTTGAAGATGATGGGACGTGACGTTGTTGCACACCTTCAATGCGTGGCCGTTTCAAGAGTCTTGGTTCAGAGCGCGGCGCCTCTAGAACCTCTGGTAGCGTGGTTTTGTTCAATGTCAAGAGTTCTACTAGGGTGAGCTCGATGTACAGTAGAGACAGAGGCCAGACCCACTGCAGCGTTTGGGCCCGCGATTAGAGCCAAACAAGATGTGCTGGATACGTGCCGTCATGGACGGATGAGCTTTGATCTTGGAAGCCTCTTTGGCAATGTGTCGAATAGTAGATAGCGGGAGTTGCTCCACAGAATGCCGCAACTTGGGATTGCGTTCGGCAGCCAGGAAGAAAGCAAACCAAGTCTGGAACCCTGCTTCTAGAAAAGAACGTGTGATTCCATCGCCAGAGAGGTTCTCCAAAGCAGTGTCAAACCCAGACGGTGCTTTGCTGGTGTCCTGGACTTCCGTCAGGTATTGCCTGAGAATTTCCACAACTTCTGCCAAAAGGTTTGCGGGCCTTTCGCCGTTTGGCACTGTCGGATTGATAGGTAGTACCGAATCGTCTGCCATTGTGCGCAGACGTCTCACGAGAAAGGTGCGCGCGAGACGCAATGCGGGGAGCGGCCTGGTACAAAGGGGCCCGCGCGAGGCCCGCGCTCTGAGCGGGGTTCCGCGCGGGCCGGAGCGCAGAGTCTCGGCAGCCAATCAGCCTGCTTACACGTCGAGCACCAATAGCGTAGAGCATCAGCAGCCCGATGCAGGCGTCCGCGATCGCTCGCTCTGCGAATGGCTTTGGATCCATGCCACGGGAAGGCGCATTAACCTATGTGGCTGTCATTAAGACCGTGAGGCGATGGATTGTCGACTACGTATCGTGTCGGTCCGTGGATATCCCGGGTAACGACGCGATCACATACGATTGAGCTTTTTCGCGGTTTTGTTAACTGGACAGTATATTGCGAGAAAGACTACCCCGAGCAGATGCGCCACCGCAGGATACGCATGGGATTGAAGATATCTTTGCCGCGTTTGACCCAACACCATGCCGCAGACTTCTTGGAAAGCTCCAAGTGGAGCACAGCCCGGCTGTGGTGGAGCTGTCGTCGCCCAGTCATGACGATCACGTGACAATAACAATGCACTACGCGTTCCGCCACCATGACCATGGCAGCCGCACCATCAACAGGGCGCCATCAAACATGGACGAACACGAGGCTACGAGATTGCTACATTTGCTGGAAGAAGCTAAAAGTCAACTCAGCCAAGAGCAGAGGCGACGAGAAGAAGCAGACCGACGGTTTCGAGAAGAGCAGCAACGACGCGAAGAAGAGCGACAGCGACGCGAGGAAGCAGACCGCCAACGCGAGGAGGCAGACCGCCAACGCGAGGAGGCCGTGGCCGTGGCCGCTGCTGCGCGGCCACAGACAATCCCCGACTACCTCGAGGCCTGCCATCAACTCAGCCTGGCAATTGACATAGTCACGGACAAGACCCTCACGACACAAGGAGAGCCCACTAAACCCGCAGGACGCAAGTTTCCACAGCAAATCATTCCTTGGGACAACTTCGCCGCCTCGCAAGAAGAAACATGGAGTCGACTAGCAGCTGACAATGCGTTTTTTACGAATACCATTTACCCATCTGCGAACCAAGTGGACTATATCGCATCGTTGAACAGGCCAATCAGCAGCGAACTTGATCTTCGAAACTTTGAGCGAGATACGGTCGAGAATGCCGTCCAGATACTGCTTGACCAGATATGCGGGAACCAGCGCCTGCGGAATAACCTCGACATTCAAGGCACGGTGATGTTCAAGAATCATACGAACCTGGGTCCAGATGAGGGTTCTGTTTCTGGATCGCTAGAGGACCTGACAATCCAGGCGACTGCGACAAGTAATGCCCCAAGGCGCCGGGCGAAGGGCAGAGGAAATCGACGAGCGGATCAGTTCTGCATTTATCGAAATGAAAACGGACGAACCTATCCTTCTCTTGCGATCGAATACAAGGCACCACACAAGCTGAGTCGGGATCAGATCGTGGCTGGTTTGGGTTGTGAGATCCGACCACAGCACGATGTGATCAACGCAGAAGGGGAAGGCTTTGAGTTTGAGTCAAAGCGCCTCTGTGCAGCGGTCATCACGCAGCTGTTCTCTTATATGGTGGGCTTGGGCACGGAGACCTCTCGAACAGTCGACACTCCTGAGGAACTCGGGTAAGAGGGCAAGCGGTATCCGCAAAACCTATACTTGACGTAATCATCGTCGGTCAAAAACCGCCTGTGATGTTCCACAATCCAAGCACGGCACCGATCAAAGAAATCGGGCGCCAAGTGGTGACAAGCTCCATTAGGACCATGCCAACCCACCAAGTTTGCCCCCTTCTCGGGTTGCATCTCTCGATTCACTTCCACCAGTGACTTAACCATGTTGTTTCCGTCCCCAGCAGGGACCGCAGTGGGTTTCGTGTTTCCACTCATGTGATCTTCTTCTTCTTCCTCCTCGTCAGATACAATAGTCGCTTCCACTTGAAAGCGAAGGGTTGCGTCCCACTGACCGCCTTCTCTCAGAAAAGCTTCCCACCGAAGCACAATGTCCAAAGCAAAGCCGACTCCACGAACAGCTCTCGCTGCGACAATAATATTGTCTGCAATGTATGTCTCCCGACTAGTCACTCCGTTCCCGCGGTAGGTGTCGGTCCCGCGGACTGATGATGGAGGCGGCCTCACCGGTTTGCTTGGAAAGAAACAAGTATCGCACCAACCCCCCGTTGGTCAAAAAGAAAGGAAGAAGTAAAGAGAAAGTTCCTCGAACATTCAGAATGGATGACCACCCGGTCTTTATACCTCCCAGGTTTGTCGCCACGCTCCATGTAAGTGACAAGCCTGAGTGGGTCCCTCAGCTGACCGCCCTCCCACACAACCCGCGTCGTCACTCTGTTCCGACCCGTTTCGCTTGCGCTCACTCCTGCGGTTAGGACCATTCCTTCGCCTCTGGCTGCAGAATGTATGACTCATCCCTCCGTTAAAACTCGGGTGATAGTGACGCTGCATACCGGCCCCACACTGGTGCGTGGTTCCATGGTACGCCTTATAACCAAACATACAGAGCAACCGTCCCGGCGCCTCGCACCGTGACAGTTGCATAAGGGGAACGGGGTCTACACCGTGCGTAACCTCACTTCGTTCGGCCCGCACTGTCTAATCACTCGCCCCAGCTCGTGATTGGATAACATTCACTCTGCTCATGTTCAGTTCACGGCGCTCACGTTACCGTTCGCTTCGTTCAAAAGCCACTGTCTTTTGTGTTGTGTATTTTTGTGTCCACTCGGGGCTACACCCCTCGCTCCTGTTCTTCGTAGAACTCTGAACAACACTGTCTCGTGCTTACGCACTCGCAGTGTCGCAACCCTGCCGGTGGCTTTTCGTAATGGGCAGTGGAGGCCTCCGGCGGTGATCATTACTATCGGTATTGCTTGAATAAAAGCCTACTCACTGGGTGCATGTACAATCACTTTGTTGAGACT